GAGGTCAGGTGATGAGCTCGTGGATGCTGCGACGGGCGACGAGAGAGGGCTTTTCGGAGCACTGCTGACCAACCGGCTGCAGTTAGAAAGGAGCAAGCTGCAGGAGCAAGTAGACCAGCTGCAGTCTGTGCTGGAGGAAACAAGGTACATGCTCACACACGAGCAAAGACTTGTTCAAGAGTTAAAGGCTCAGCTTCAGGATGAGAAGACGAGGCGGCAGAGACAGCAGCGGAGCATGCAAGATCAGCTTGACATGCAGTGCATGGAGTTAAAGCAGCTTCACGAGGAGCTCGAGAGCGCCCAGGTGGCACTGCATCAAAAGAGAGAGGCATTTCGAGAACTACAGAACACAACCAAATCGGAGAATATGAAGTTCGACGTGTGCAAGGCACGTGAGAGCGAGGCCGAGCTTTTGACAGCTCTCCTCGAGCATGCGCGCATCCAAGCGAGCTCCCGCGAGACTTCGGCGCGAGAGGAAGGGAAGACTTTGCAGGAACTACGCACGGAGCTGGAGCTGGCTCAGCGCAAGGCTTCCGAGGAGCAGAAAGTCGCGGAAGAGCTCCGGGTGAAGTTACATCACGAAGAGGCCACGAGGCATCAGCTGCAAAAGTTCAATGAATTGCAAGTGTCGTTTTACATGAGAGAGGCTCGCCACAACAGGGCTTTTCGAGCCGATGTGGCAGAATTCTTGCAAGAGCTGGGACAACGATATCCTGGCATTGCAAAGGAGGTTGCTTCGGCAAGTGGAAATCCCCTCACTCTGTATGGAGCTGGAGGAGGCTAAGGCTGACACGCAAAGCAAGAGAAGTTTCACTGCCAAAAGGGGCCTTTGAGGCTGAAGCTGCAGAATTTCAGCATCGGCTGGCTCAAAGACATCCGGCATTGCATGACCTAGACTCCACCTGCTTGTTCATCGAGAATCTCCAAGAGATCACGACCAGCATCGATTGGTGCGTTTCATGGCTATATACTGTGTACTGTGGAGGCCAAAAAGTAATTCTCGCCAGCTCTTATATATATATATATGCATACATATGTATATGTGTATACATTTATATGCGCACCCACTCATGTATTGCAATTTCCAGGCAAGTGGATCTCCGAGGCGGCTCTCTGGATGTTGTGGTCCCACAACGGCCACGCCAATACTGGGCTCGAGGAGCCACCCGGCTCACAACCATGTCCGACTTGAGTCTTCTCACATGCTGGCCTTTTGCTGCGAAGTGGTGGATGTGTTTCGTTTGAGAGTCTCTGAGACAAACGTGCCTGGTGCTTTCAGCCCAAGGTGTGACGTTGTCGGCTTGGATGCTGGCAAGTTCCAGGAGCTGACGCTGTTGGAGCCCTGTCCTCCCAACTGTGTCCTGGTCCTGAACTCTGCCTATGCCTCGAAAAGCTTGGTGTCTTCATGTTGCGGGCAAGATACCATGGCCAGTCCTGGGAGCCTGGTGCTCCTATCGGTTGTAGAAGCCAGTGGCTCTCGCTCATGGCCATAGGTTCAGCCCGACCCAAATCTCAGCGCCGTAGCGCCACTATCGGTGAATACATCCGAAGGAGATCTTCAAGGATGACAGTACCGTGAAGAGCTATGCCGCGGCTCTGGCAGCATGCGCCATCCCCTTCCCAAGAGAAAGCTTCACAAACATGAGGGTTTCTGCGTGTCGGCAGTTTATCACATTTGCATTCTAGTACATCCTCCACATGCCGACCGGAGTAATTGCTGAGATGGCATTCTGGGCACACTTCATGGAGAACCCGGGCACTCTCACGGATGCCTGGGCAGATGAGGCTGCTGGATGGAGTTGGGGGTTGATGTTGGGTGTTCGCTGGCATGCCTTTGGCAGGAGTTGCTTTTCGACTGGGCCATGGGTGCACTGGTCAGTGCGGAAAGGACGCTCAGCCCAGATCTTGCAAGACTTCCCAGCTACAGTAGGCTTCACTTTGCGACATGCAGGCAACGCAACAGACTGTTGTAAGATTTGCAAGCGGAGATGGGTGGTCTACGAATACGCAAAAAATGCCGCAGGCAACTTGAGAGGACGATCGACGTTTCAAGAGCACCCGGTCTGTCAGGTATGTTGGCGGTGTGATCAACCCGGACCATCGCAACACTGCATTTACCAAGCACATCATCAACAAGCGCCGCTCTAGCAGCTCGAACTGAGTTCAGCTCACTGGATTTAGGGCTAGAGGTGGCCTCAGGCCTACTTATCAAGGATCGGTGACTGCGTTCATCATAACACCGCACCTTTCGGGCCAGCACGCGGAAGAATTGGATGCGAGAAGCTGCTATTGACTTGCCATTCACGGGAAGACATGTCATCAGGCAGCGCCATGCTGGACGAGACGCACATAGGCCAGAGGAACTCACCGTTTCACGGTGTAAGACATTCTTCGTCGGTTTCGCCAGGCAGGGTCTTCCCTAAAAGCGGAAGCTCCATCGCAGACACGCCGGAGTAGCTCGTTGTCTGCAAGGCCACATTCGATTGGGGCGAGATGGTTTCAGTCCTGGAGTTGACGGCACATTCCCCCGCTGTAGCCTGAATGCAGGACTTGTGTCCTGGGTGATTCCCACTCTGGCCGGAGGCTAGAAGGGTTGCCCTCAGGCCTGTCTGATGAGAGCCAAGACGTTAGACTCCGTTAGACGTTTGGTCAGCTCGTATACACGTAGAATCAGTGAAGTTTGAAGAAGCATGCTTTTTGGGCTCCGGGCGACGCTAAGTGTCAGCCATTGGGGCCGGAATTCTGCACCTGGCACCAGCTTCCAGTTTACCAGCTCCGCCTGTGTTCCCCGGCCGAAGAGATTGCATCGCGTGGCACTCACTTGAGTGCACACTTTCTCAGCAGTGTGTTTCGTCTTGCTCCGTTTGCGGCTTTCCTGTGTCATGGGCGCTGGTGAGACAAACTCGCGCTGAGCTGTCTGTTGCCTTTGTAGCTCTTTGCTGTGTAGGTTTTTGCACGGGGATCCAAAACGAAGTCGACGAAGCCAAGTCTTTGCAGAAGGGCAAACACGGTGTATTGGTTTTGGCTTCCAGTGCTGCCTCAGTGCACAGGCAGGTTCGGCAAAAGCCTGTCCTGCTCGGTGCTTTCCGAGCTTGGCAGTAAACTTGTTCAACCCCTGAAAGGCACACACCTTAGTCTGTCCAACTGTAGACCCTTTTTTTTCTGGCGGGACTTCCGAGATGTCCTTTTGCTGCCAAGCAGTGCTGACGGTGTATGATCCGGAACTGTGCAGTCCATGGATCTTGCTGGCCTCTCAGGCCCTTTGAACTTGAGTGCGACTGACATGAGTCCACCACACCCTCCCGCAGAGCCAAAGAGAGACGGCAGACGGCCGCTCGGCCCTCTGTTCCTCAGCGCTGAAGCGGCTGACGCGAAAAGCGTCCTATGGGGAGCCCGTCGAAGCCACATGTGAGACTCCACTGTTGCGTGCCCAGTGTGTTGTTAACCATCTGGTGAAGTGTGAAGGACATCCCAAAACTTTGGATTCTGGCAATACCAGCCCCCATACCCTCAAGTAGCACGACCGCGCGACACGGCAGCGCTCGAAAGGCTCAACGGCCTAGGGCCTAGGGAACCACAGCTTCGGCCGAGGACTTCTCCAGAAGCTGCAGCTGCAAGCGACGAGGTTTGACGAGGCCACTGCAAGTGTGAGTTGGGCAAATGTCAAGAACGAAGCCGGGGAGATAATTTTTGAGATAATGGAAGAGAAGAGCAGCGCTGCGTCACATCTTGAAGCGGGTATTGTAGCAATGTAGTAGGAGGCAGGCAGGCAGGCAGGCAGGCAGGCAGGCAGGCAGGCAGGCAGGCAGGGAGGGAGGGAGGGAGGGAGGGAGGGAGGCAGGCAGGGAGGGAGGGAGGGAGGGAGGGAGGTGCAAGTAGTAAACATTGTAGTAGTCGTAGTCGTAGTGGTTTTCGTAGTCGTAGCAGGAGTAGGAGAAGAAGTGGAGAGCACAGGAGGCGCAGGAGCAGGAGCGGGAGCGGGAGCGGGAGTTGGAGTGGGAGTGGCATTGGGAGTGGGAGAGCAGAAGAAAAAGTAGACCCGCCACGAAAGAAGACATTCTGGATAAGTAGCACAGAATCGGGTCACAGTCCTCAAAGCAACTTCTATGCCAGAATTTGGTTTTCAGAGTTCAGGCCCTGCCGTGGAGACTAGATCCTCCCCTCTGGACGGCAGGAGAATCCTGCCCCGAGCCGTGCGTTGCGGTGTAGTCGATGCTGTGGAGAACATGAATGTAAGATTGGGCTTTCCAGATGTCGCCTGTTGAGTCGAGTCGTCACAGCTTCCACTCAACTCCCCTCCCGGATCACTGCCACAGGAAACGCGAAGACGACACTCGAAGACATCATGACGGAGCTGTAATTGTAAGAGAAATTTGTGCCTTGGTAGGTTTTCAGCAGTGCAGCCTAGGCACACCTTGCAAGGGTTGATGCGTGGGCACTTTCTTCTGCTACGTCGCGTGAGAGTCATGTCACTTTTTTTGTGAAGGGCTTGTAGGGTGTGCCGAGACTTTTCATTGTCTCCAGAGAACCTGTGCACCATTGGCTACAAGTACGCGGACCAAAAAGCTTGCTCGGCTCGATCAGGCCTGTGTTGCACCTTATCAGATAGGATGGAGGCAGGTCGAACGGACTGTGACTGGGCAGATGGTCTAGATCCTTTCGCCCACTGCTGCAGCAGCTGCTCGGCTTTTGCGGATGTGAAGGTGTGAAGGCCGTCTTAGACTTTTGGAAGGCATCAAGGCCTCATGGAGCTGTGCCGCTCGCCAGGATGAGTGGCAGGACGACTGGGACCGCGGTAAGCGCGGGCCCTTCTTCCTGGCCATGGACACACTGCATGCACGGACCTAAGCGAAGGCTCTTGGTGATTTGCATTATTTTTTAGCAGTGCCCTCGGCAATCCTTTTCTTTTCTGAGGCCATGAAGGTGAGCTGCGAGTGGGGAGGGCGCTTCAGCCATGTGCTTCGGCCAAGACATGTTTGGTCCACCATGCAAATGCTGGGCTAAGACTCGACATTACCTTGGAACCTGGCAGCTGAGGATGTGGGCCGGTGTAAGCGGCCCGTGCGTCTGCACCCGAGACAGCTTGGGGAATTCTAATCCTGATAGGCCTGCAGTGGTCCTTGGCCAAGCGTGTCGCCTTGTTTTCTCATATCCAGAGTCTTTCAGGAGACCCATCACCGCTACATCTGAGCCCGTAGCTTGTACCTGGGCCGCCACGTCGAATCGCGAGGCAAAGGCTACGTCTACCCGGAGTTCTTCGGTCAGGCCCGGAATGCCCCTTTTTGGAGTTTCATCGCACTTTTCATGATGCGGAGGTGAGTGCCACCAGCCAGTTTCTGCGTCACTGCTCTGCTCCGCGGCTCCGGAAGGACGGGATTCGCTGCAGTGGGAGTCATAACTCAGTTTTCTGAAGTATGCAGAGTCCGAGTTTTCTCTGCTGCGCGTTTCCTACTCTCGAGGTGCCTCCTTGTTTGAAGACCCTAGCACGGCGGGGAATTTTATGCCGAGTTTCGCTTGTCAGGATGCCTTCTCCTTCAATGCATCTGCGCAGGATGTCCAAGAAGGCCAGCTTCCAAAGGCATAGCGAAGTGCAGCCAGAAGATAGTGCAGAGCAAGCTAGGCAAGAAACGGCTAGAGTAGCAGCAAGTGGGCTGATCAACATGGGTTTGAGGGCAAGGTGCACCTGCTGTCTTTGCCAACTATTTCACTCCTTCGGGTTGTGTGCAGCAATATGCAGCAACCTTTTCCGAAGCTGTGCAGGGTTTGCATGGCCCTTTCCGAATCGCTCGGCTCCAGTGCACACGCGTCAGATAGAGTAATCTGACACGTGTGTGCTGGAGCCGAGCGATCTACTCGCTGTCGGTGTAGGTTCGGTTATGGCCATGCTCTGGACGCAGGTCGCCAGTGTGGCAGGTTGGGTCTGCCAGCCATCGAGTTCCGATATTGTATCAACCGATCAGATTTTGCAGCTGCAGTCTGCACTGGAGATGCGCCTCCTGCTCAACCATGAGCAACGGGTCTCGCAGGAATTGAAATCCCAAGTAAGGGATGAGCGGAGAAGGCGAGAGATGCTTCAGCGGGAGATGCAGGACAAGCTCGAGCTTCAAGGCCACGAAATGAAGAGAACTCGAGACGGCCCAGGCGATGCTGCACCAGAAGAAGAACGAGTTCCCAGGGCCTCGGAGGAGACCTCTGAGAAGCCGAGTCAGGTGCACCGTCATGTATTGAAACAAGGAGAGTGCGAAACGGAGCTGTTGGCAGCTCTGCTCGAGCATGCCACGAAGCAGGCGACTGCCTGCCCCGCCGTGAAAAAAAATCGACCGCCCTGCAGCAACTCCGCTC